CGCACGGAAGCTCGGTTTTCTGTTTTTTTTTTTTTTTTCCTTTCGTTTCTTCACTGTCTGTCGAAATAAAATTTATTAGTTTCTAAATCTGTTATTCCACTTATCTTTTCCTTTTTTTTTTAATTACCTTTAATAGTAGTTTAGTATCTTTGCAAGTTATCTTTTTCTTTGTTTAAGATAACATTTTATACAGGTAATTATCGAAGAATATTATTCACAATATGTCCCACAAGTTAATGTTTCTCTATTTATCTTAGTGTGAAAACTAAATTTGCTCCTTGTTTCACACAAAGAAATAAGAACCAATCTAACCCTTAAGATAAGTAAGGCGATTATAAGATGAGGATCATATCTATTCCTTATTATGATAATTAAAAGTGGAAAAATGGATAAGAATATCTTCTAGTTCTTATTCTAGATAATTAAATAGTAAATAAGGGCTACATTTTGTTCTTAATCCACGTAATTGAGGAGATAATAATGGATTAGGATCATATTCAATCCCTTACTCCGGATAATTCAGGAAATAAGAGCGGATATATCATGTAATCATGAAGACAAATGTCGTCTATCAATAGAACAATAATTTCTTGAATTATCTTTTCTATTTACTTTAATTATTTATAGTAACAGCATAATATTTTAACGAGTTACTTCTTTTTACTTCAATTATTTGCAGTAGAATATGTATCGTCATCATGAGTTATCGTTTCCGTCTTTTGAAATTTAATTTCTTGTATAGACCTATATATATATAATTATTAAGAATTTCCTGTAAGAGATGCCATCTGAACATTTAAAAATTTTAGATAATTAGGAAATGTCCAGTTATCCGAACAGTTGTCATATTCCGGTTGAGAACACTCCTGACATTCAACTCCATTTTGAGTTGGAGATGGAAGGAGGAAAAAGGGGAAAAAACAATTCTAAAGGATTAAAAAACAGATTTAAATTTATTGGTAGTATTACTTCCAATGTTTATTTGAAGAAGGTATTCTTTAAATTCCAAAAAGCATTTGAAGAAACTAGCCAATTCGCATACGGAATTAAGCACTTTAAAATTCAAATTACGAAGAAGGTCTGAAAGGAAAAAAAAATTACATTTTTCCCCCTCTTTTTTTTATTTTTTTACTTTACTTGTTCCGTACTGCGAAACGTCAGATTAAATTTGCTGCATTCGCTGTTTTTTTATTCTTTTTTATATCCTTTCTTTCGAGAAAAGGAAAAGGTTTCTCTTCTCTCTCTCCTCTTCTACAGAGGGATTGTATTTTTGACTAGCTACTTTCGCATTATTAAATATAATATCTAGAACAACCCCCGTTGGGTCGTTGTTTCTAAAAAAAATTCTTAAAAAAAAAAAATAGAGGAAGAGCAGTTATCTTACCTGAGACTGGACGTTAGCACCCATCGAAGAATAGGAATCTCCTCCATTCATAGACATATTATACATCCCATCTTGAGGGGCTGGTGGAGGACTGATTATTTGTTGATTTTGACTACTTGGCACAAGGTTGTAAGGTGAGGCCCCTGTGGCCGCTGTGGGGGATAGAGGGACTACTTTTATTAGCAAACACTCGCAATTTAAATAATTTAAATCTTAACATATAAAACTAAAATTAGAATTTAAACTGTTTATCTCTAACAAGATTCATAAATCTTTTTATGATTTAAACTTTGTCTATTCGTTAGAAGGAAGAAATAAATAGCAAATTAACAAGACACCGAGGATTTTGCCATATTATTTCTCACTCTGTACATAACTAACAATTAGTGGAGAGAGTTCTCAATATATCACAATAGTTGACAGTAGATTGTTACAGCTCTTAAACGTAGTAAACGTTGAAAAGAGTTGGAGCCACATTCTAGTAAAGTGAACCCACAAGGTCACCCCCCTTTCTCCACTAGCAACTCGGTCGCTAATTAAAAATTTCATTAAATTCTTGTGATTAATTACTGTGTGTTGAGCAGCACGTTGAAGGGGATATATATACATATACCCTTCCGCTAACATTAGCCCAACTTCAATGCATCTAAGTTTTGATTCTATACAGAATCCGATCCTCTTTATAATATTAGTCACGCCAGTCAGCAAACTGGGAATGATTTCAAAGTAATTTCTCCATTATAAATCAACACACGTGACTATTTTAACATTTAACCCATGATTTATCTAGCCTATTTGTTTTAAATTAGCCTATTAGGCCCGTGTTGCTCACCTTTTTCCACAGCATACTAATCAAAATTAAGAATTTCTAACTTAGAACTGAAGCTCGTTTTAATATTAAAGGGCCTCCTCTCTTAAACTCGGCGCACTCTCATTTATTTAAAAGGAGAAATCACGAGACCTTCGGGGAGTTTTACCTACTTAAAATACAAAGTATGTTGTCATATCAATAGGCCCTTTAAGGGATATTTTAACCGCAGAAATCTCGCTGATCAAAGTGGTTCGTAGATTAAAATGTTCTCTTCTTTTTTTCCCCCTGCAACTGCCATTTACCGAATTGTTCCAAAACCCGAAAATGTTTCGTGTTCGGTGAAAGAGGAAACCATCAGAAAATGAAATGGAGTTGGGGGTAAGAAGAAAGCGGAAGACAACTTCGAGCTAATCCAGGCAAAGAGCTAAACATCTCTTCTTGTGTAAGCGATGGTTCTGGATATAAAGCAGTGCAGTGTGCAATAAACGAAAGAGGGTAGGGAGATAGTTTGACGTATGCGATGCTGCTCATCTCTAGATGGATACAACGATGTGACGATAGCGGTTGATACACACACAACACTACAAATAGGCCTCGTTTAGATCTCTGGAGTAAAAGTTGGCATCCCGACTAAGCTTACATATATATTTATATATCTTTAAAATGGAAGAATTTTAAGCGCTCGTTTTAATAAAATAAACAATCACTAATTAAATATTTAAAAGAGTATAAAATATTTATAATTAAATTACTCTTTAGAAGTGTTGTTTAAGAACATTTATAATTAAATCTATTTATTTCTTTCCTCGAAAGTAATTTGACAAGGAGACATCATTTTGAGATTAGAAGTCCAAACCAACCAACAAGCCGTCAATATGAGCAACTTGCAGAACAGTAGGGGTTGATATATTACCTCTAAACACAAGGAGAAGTGGTTTGGAGAAGATCTGCTAATAGCCACATTTCGAACATCATTCATTCCCCCACAAGAGCAATAAACACCTCGCACAATGGCCTTAGTCACTATAATAGGGTTGAAATGGGTGTAAGTTCGGCTTTTTCTCTTGATTGGACGCACCTAAAAAGCTAGATACTTATCTGCGATAACACTGCCGACTCTCTGGTGACTTAATGTCTGTAAGTTTGGCAATGATAGTCGACTCTTTCTCACAAGCGCGGAAACTACAGAGGTGTTTAGAAGAGTCTCTTTAATGTCCTACTGCAAATGGCGAAAACTTTACCCTAGAGGTGTTAAAGTACTATTGGAATATTGGACATTGAAATAATGTATCGATAAGGAAGAATTGTAAGCAGTGACACTAAGGGCGATCCACATATTGATACCTTGTTTCTTCTCTTTTTAAAGTAAATAAATTAAAACCGATCATTATTTTTCTTTTAGAAATTTAAAAATTAAACTTTCTTTTTTGTGCTTCATTTACAAAACTGCCTGATAGTTTATCAAATAAAAAAAAAAGTTTTTATGCGGTGACAACAAGAAGGAACATAAAGGGCGTTCGTATATTTATAATTTGCTTTCCTAGCTTAAAAATAAATTAATTAAAGATAAAATGTGATAATTTAATTTTCGAAAATTAGTAATAAACCTCGTTTTTTCTTATTAAAATTTTAAATATTTATATTGATGAATAATGAAGAAAACAACGAGAGAAACGCGCTGTGAAATATTATCTAAGGAGAAATTTCGAAAGAAAAACAAAATACAAAAATAAATATTTTTTTATAGAATATATTCAAGTTGTAAGTCGAGAAAAAGAAGAAGGCGAAGAAGAAGAAAAAGGAATTACTTGTAAAATCCGGACCTATTCCGGACCATTCAATTACAGGCCTAGTAGTACCCAAACCTGTCAGAAGGGACGAGTCCGGAAGGGATTCCGGGACTTTTCCAGCTGGAATATGATAAATTACAGGAGGTAGAAATTGGATCGAGTAAAATGTAGAACAATGTTGGACCGACTGTCAATAACACTGCTCCAATATGTCCTTCCACGTGGCCCGCGGGGATAAAAAGCATCCCTGGGGTCTACCCCTACCTCCACTTTCGTTCGGGAACTGCAACAATTTTGTCTGAAGCCAGAAATTCTTAACTGCCATTTTATAAAACCCCCTAGCCACGTGTAAAATGATTTTTAAAGAATCTATCGAGGACTTAAAACCGGGTTCGACAAAAATTAAAAAGTGTGTACAAAAAAATTTTTTTATGACCTTTACAATTACACACGATCTTAAAAAAAGCAGTCGGATTAAGAATTACTTTTTTATTTTTATTTTTTATTTTAAACATTCGTTCCTAAGGCAGAAAGGGGATAGAGGAAGAGGGAAAAAACATACAAAAGTAATAGCGCCCCTTCACGGTCTGGAGTATACAGATAAAGACGCAGGGGGTAGGAAGGGGCCCTGCATCCGGGGACTTATCTCCCCACACCTGGGCCACTTCCGTTGCTACAGACAACAGAAAATTTGTCCACTCTCGTCTGTCTTCTACAGATAAGCCGGCAGGTTCCCCCGGGGGAGACAGGATTCGGTATATACGCAGCAGTTATGACATCGTAGTGTTCCAATTTCGGTTTTCCTACCCCCTATCTCTTGGGAAATATCGGTAAATCTGTTTCCGAGACAATCGTACTCTAGAAAGTTACTTGTAGAAAGATTATATAAAATTAAACAAGTTGGAAAATTTCCAATGTTATATTTACGTAAAAGGTTAAATGGAATTATAAAGTAGATTAAAAAAAAGCGTAGTATTGCATTAATAATACATTTAATTTTGTAGAGTCGAACCCCTTTAAAACGCCTCTTCTTCCAACTCCTCCTCTTGTCGCGTCGCTCCCGATCGTGACATCATCTATTCGCAATTTACATTAAAAATATCCTAATGATTCAACGTTAACTACATTACAGAATCACTCGTAGGCAGAGATAAAGGATCTAGTACAATGCCAACTACGATTAGATTTTTTAATCGAGTTAAGAAAGTAAAAAAAAAAAAGGCATGAGCGCGCGACACTCGCGTTGCGTCGCGTCGGATGCTGCACCACAACAAACTTTGTATTACTAGTTATAACACTTGTCCAATAGCATAATTCGGCTAAATTTGATTAAATTTGATGTAATTATTGGAAAAATAATGCAAGTCTTGTACAAGTTTTTAGATTTAAACTTTTTATAACATCGTTTCATTCTTTCTGATTGCGACGTCATGTATAAGCATTTTATTTTTAAAATAGTTTAATAATTCAGTTTAATTTTATTAAAAACTTTTTATAACGATAAAAAATGTACAGCAGAATATAAATAACAAATAAATTTTAAAATCAGATTATTAATTAAGGGAAAATATTAAAATAGATACACGGCGATTATCGTAACGATCACTTCGATTCGCGACGCGGCTAATTCATTTTTATTCAATAAAATGATTTAAATTACTTTTCTTAATATTATATAATATAGACGGAAACTTGTTAAAATCATTATAATAAAGAATTTGTAGACTTTTATAAAATTTTTATACAATTAACATGCTTTTCTCTTCTTAGAATTTCTTTCGCATCGCTTGCGACTCTAACGTCAAATATTTACAATCTTCATTAATAACACGTAAAAGATTTAATTTAATTATTCAAAAAATAATCAAATAAACAAAGAAAATGTTTTACTAACGAAAAAGTCAAAAAACAAAATTTTAAAATCGAATTATTAAAGAAAAATCATTGAAAGCGCGCGACAATCGCGACACGTCGCATCGAGTTAGCGATGCGCCGATTCGAACTTCATCCAATCAGACAATTCAAAGCAATTTTCTTAAGTTCAACTTAACAATAGAAAGAAGGATAAATTAATAACGAAATGTGTTTCTAAATAAACAAACGTAAGAAGGATCAATAATCGCAATACAATCTGAGAATATAGCATCTCTTAACATAACAGCACTCTCTTGAATGAACAGAATCTATTGAGTCTTTAACTAAATAGCAACTCCTCTTTAGGGAATAACCGTTTTCCCATCTTACAGTTCATGCCCACACTTAGTAGTAATTACTGAACCTAACTGATGTCTTACCTGCTTTCTTCGCTGCGTATAAATTAGCTTCTTCCTGTGCTTTGCCTATGTTTTTCTTGTATCTTATCCTTTTATTCCCGAACCAATTGGATACCTGGTGAAAATTTTCGCATTATTTTAACAGAAAATAAGTGGAAAAAAAACACATAAAAACATCCGGATAATCGAGTCTCTACCTGTGACACTGTAATACCGCATTTTCTTGCTAATTCCTCCTTAGCCTCTTCACTAGGATAAGGATTACTTAAATGCGAATAGAAATATTCGTTAAGGATTTCTGTAGCTTGTTTGCTAAAATTTCTCCTTTTTCTCCTGAAAATTTACAAAAAAAAAAAAATAATAATAATCCATCAACGAGTTGCTTAACTTTCCCGGCAACATTTGGTGGCTCCATCTGTTATCATATTTTATTAAAACAACTTTTTATATTTTTAACTGTTATAAAATAGCAAATAGCTTAATTTTGAGGCCAGGGATTGGTTTTGTAAAAATTTGTAATATCGTCATTAAGTTCGACCCTACTAGAGATACACTCAACTCCATTATCTCCCTATTCCCTCGACCTTTAACCACCAAAACTTAATAGTATCAATCCTCCTAATAAACAAACACCCATGTAAAATTTCAGAAATTTTGGACAAATAGCACAGGAGTTATTAAGCTTCAAACAGGGTGAACAAAATCGTCGCCCCATACACACAGTAACATCCATACATACAGAAATTACCCCGGAATATTTTTGCATTTCTCGGAATTATAAAATATACGGTTTTTCATAATTGTTCGC